GCAATCCCTTCTCCTCCATTCTCCTCTTGGGATCTTGGGCATGCACGCACACGTACCCGGCGTGAGTTTTAAGCCACCGGGTCCGGGACGCGAACCGCAGTCAACTACATAGGAGTCCAGCAACAGCCATTACGCTAACTGCTGGTCCCAAGAATAATTCTTCATATAAATTAATTTCATGCAAATTTTATTCTTAGATGGCTAAGACCAGTGAAATTAATTGAATAACTGTCAAGCATATTTTTTTTTCTTTTGTAACAACATTTATATTGCTAGGAGATATATAAACTTGTAAAATTACCCTAGGTTTCCAATTTTGTTGCCAAGAACAATTGGGTGCAAAGTTTTTTATTTTCTAAAATGTTTACCTGTTACTTAGGTATAAAATTTTCTCTTGTTAATTTCTCTGTATCCATTTCACATAATAAATCATAAATGAAGTTCCATTTATACTGACCCTTAGACCCCCAAACTTCTTTATGACTCCAGATGAAATTGTATAGCTTCATCCTTTTATTTATTTGCATATGTGTTTTGGACTTATTTATATTTCGGTGTGTGTATGCATGTATGTGTTTGTGTGCATTTTTTTTTTTGGAAGATCTTGCTGCAATCCTTTTAGGGTGGGCCAGGAATCAGACCTGGACCCATGTGATAGCTTGCTGAGCAAAAGGGGCCAGCACATGCTACTGTAGCTGGGCAGCGTGTGTGTTTTAATTGGTATGTATTAGTATTACTATTCTACTGGATGAATAAACCTCATTTCTCTGGACATTGAGCTATTTTGCATGTATAAACAATACTGAAATTAACTTTGCAATGTTTGTTCCCTTGTACATGTGAGCATATAGCTATTAATAGAAGTTACATCTAAACATAGTAGTATGTTTACCTTCCACTTGGTTATTATTGAAACTTTGCTCTCCACTGTGGTTGCACCAAGGTTCAGTTCCATCATTGTGTAAGAATTCTTGTGTTTCCACATCTTTGCCAAACTCCATCTCATCAGGCTTATCATTTTAACGTTTGCCTACCTGATGAGAACTGAAACTGATGAGTTTTGTTTTAATTCCCGTTTGTTGGCTCACTAGTCACATAGGGTATCTTGCCACATACTTCTGCTTCCTTCATGTGCTGAAGTTACAGTGTTAATGAGATGGGGCACTCAAGGCTGTCATGGCTAGAAGCTGAATTCTTCAAAAGATGTTAAGTTTGATTACAGATTGAGATGCTGTCAGCAGTGAGTAGGGGGAGGAGGTCGCATTAACTTGGGATCAAGAAAGAGTTTTAAAATAAAGTGACACTGACCCCAAAATTCTGTGGGGCTGCTTCCAAAAGACAGGTTGGAGAGTCAGAGAGTGTCCAAGGAAAGAGCCAGGTTTTAATTTAAAGCAGAAAAGAAGTTAGTTTCAGATCGGGAGATCCAAAACTCAGTTGAGGGACATTTAAGGGAAGGGAACAGGTCAGAGTTAGCAGGGAGCAGTATGGAGCTTGAGCAGAGTGGGAATGATCTCTATATCTGAGAGAATGGCCCTATACCTCTCAGAGAAGGATGGAAATACATTGTCGTGTAATAGTCCTCCCTTGCAGTATAATAGCTTCCAGGTAGAGGTATTAAGCTTGTTGCTCTTACTTATTTGGGAGTCTCCAGAATCTAATATTGTGCCTTTTTTTTTTTTTCCTCAAGTGAGTAGTTTCCTATGCTTCTGTCTTCTCCAAGCTCAGTTGCCCATAACATCAAAACCTAGAGCCAGGAGCACTTTATAATCACTGTTTTCAGAGTGAGGTTCACAAAACAAACAGTTCAGAATTAAAATTCACTAAGGAGCTATTATAAAAAGTATTTTAAAGTATCTCTGTTTTAGCTATGTAAATCCAAGTTATTTTCTCTTTGGCTTAGCCTTTTCAAAAACTTCATAGGAATTATAAAAAAATATATTATTTAAATATGGCTTTCCATTGGGATGACATTCTATGCAAATATCAGTTCTGAGTGAGTCACGAATTGTTCAGCTTCAGTATTGCATAAAGTATTTTTACTTACCTATCTATTTATCTATCACAAAATGAATGTATTTAAGGGATATTTGTTACTAAGAATATTTTTGATACTTATTTAAAAAACACCAAATTTTGGAGTAGTCCTGAGGTCTAGTAGTTAAGGGAGCCGGGTCCCATATGACTGACCACATTTCAAATCCCAGCAACTTGGAAAACACATGAGATGCATGTGCATGCATGCCCCAAATCTTAACAAGATGGAGAAATGGAGGAGGAGGGATTTTGATGTTACCATGTCCCATTGTGTGTGTGTGTGTGTGGGTGCTTTCTCTCTTTTTCTCTTGCTCTCTCATGAGTGTACATGCTCTCTAGCAATTAAAATTTGAAATTTATTTAAAAATAGTTTTCTTTTGCTGCATATCATCAAATATGTAACAGAAAAGCAATGGTAGCTTTAAAAAATACTGAAATAAAAAAATACTGAAATTATAAATCTAAATTGACGTAGTCCTCATAATTGCTTGGAAATTAGTCAAGTCTTCTCACATTTTCCAAAGAGTTAGTGATAAATTAGAACAAAGGAATTAAGGCAAGGATTTATCTTGACCCAGTGCCCCAGGTCCCATCAGATGAAACAAAGGCATGTCTGCTCCTTGGTTTTCCTTGTCACCATTTGACCTTTTCACTGAGTGTTTGCTGCCTTTGCCCAGACTGAGACAATACATTTCTAGAAACTGCATCTATTTAAATAATGTTTATTCAGATCTAAATATTTGGTTTAATAAAACTATTGGAAGTAGAAATCAGAGAACCATCATTCAGGAATAGGTCTTACTCTAGTTTATGTTCAGTTCTGCCCATTCATTTTCCTATATTTTTACCACACAGTTTTTCAGTTCGCATTTCAAATTTTTTACTAAAATTATTCAAGATTAAAAAATAAATTACAAAATTAAAAAAAGAAGAAACTTGCCTGCCTCTAGCTCATTCTCTTTCCAACTCAAGCCCTGGTTAGTCAGCCAGAGATGATGTAACATGCCTCCGAAAGGCTCCAGCTTGATAGCATTCATTCATTGTACACTCGGTGACTACCTGTTGTGTGCCAGCACCATAGAAATCCTGGAGGATACAAGGAATGAAACTCTCATAAATGTCTGTCCTCAAGCTTACGTTCTGTGCTGAAATGTATCAGAGCATCCTGTCTTCTCACAGTGTTAACAGTCTCCAGTGACAAGTCTGAGACCAACTAGCAAAAAATGCTTCTCCTTTGTTCTCCTGGAGAGTCCTTGTCTCTCAAAGGGTCCCTGATAAGCCAAATAAAGCCTCACTGAGAGTTGCCAACCATAGGAAATGTGGTTGCTATAGATGACAGACTTAATCATTAGACAGTCTTGTCCTCCTCCAAGACCGATCACCTCTGAGGGTTTCCCTAGTGCCACTTTTCCCTGCCATATCCTGGTCCCTCCATGACCGAACTCATTTTACCACTCCCTTCATCTTGCCTCTTCTAGAAACATCACTTTGGAACTTTATTTCAGTGTGTGCCTGGTATGAATGTGGACCTTAAAAAAAGAGTATCCAATGCAGTCCTGCCTTCTAAGAACTTAAGAATTCTTTGTTTTTCTATTTTTTGGAGATTTTTGAGTGTGTGCTCACTTGAGAGACAGAGAAAGAGAGGCAGAGAGAGAAAGCGAGAAATCACCTCCCAGGGTACACCACAATCCCTTCTTTTTCATTCTTCTCTTGAGATTTTAGGTATGCACACATAGCACACGTGCCTGGGGTGGGTTTCAAGCTTTCGGGTCTGGGATTCAAACTGCAGTGGGCCACGTGGGAGTCCAGTGATGTAACCATTATCTGTTGGTCCCAATAACTTAAGAATTCTGAAGACTTAACACATTTGAGGTGTCACCATAAGGAATGTGTCTGATTAGAAAAAGATGTTCAGCCTTAATATTATCTTAGTTTGACCACTATAACAGATTACCATAGACTGGGTGGCTTAATAAAGCATGTATTTCTCAGATTTCCGAAGGCTGGGTAGTCCAAGATTAAGGTGCCAGTATGGCTGGGTTTCATGAGCGCCTGACTTCTGGTTTATAGATGATCACGTTCTCTTTGTATCTTCTTAGGACAAAGAGGAGGGAAGAAGAATTAGGAAAGAGAATATGAACACCCTGGTGTCTCTTCATATAAGGGCATTAATATCGTTTATGAAGTTTATGACCTTATGACCTAACATACTTGTCTCCCAAAAGATACATTACACTGGGGAGTTAGGATTTCAACATATGAATTTTTTTTTAAACATTCGATTCCTAATAATATGGTAATATAGTGGATTTAAAGACTGAAGCAAGTTACTGAATTGCTGCATGTTTAATATGCAGATCACAAGATGTTAAGAGGCCAAACGTTCTCATCCATTCTCCCCTCGGGATCTTGGGCACGCACACACATGCGCCCGGCGTGAGTTTTAAGTCACCGGGTCCAGGATGCGAACTGTGGTTGACTACGTGGGAGTCCAGCAACATAGCCATTACGCTAACTGCTGGTTCCTTCAACATATGAATTTTGAGGGTGAACATTTAGTTCATAATAATATGATTGGTAATACAGTGGATTTTAAGACTGAAGCAAGTTACTGAATTGCTGCGTGTTTAATATGCAGATCATAAGATGGTATGAGGCAAAACATAATCAGGTGGTATAAAGACTTCCATAGGATGATGGTAAAGGTGACATCAGTGTTGTCTGCAGTCATAGGAAATGATTCGACAGGTATTTTGAGTCCTGTGTTTGGCCATGAAGAAAGGATAGACTCTAGATTGGGTGGAATATAGACAAGAATCAGGAATGGTTGTAACTCAGACACATGTTCACTGATACCCTGATTGGTTCTGTCCTGTCCCATTTTAGTAGGGAGAGAGAGAACTCTTTATATTCTTATTCCTAACCAGGACTCCATAGCATGATTTTGATGTGGGAATATTTGTGTTTATTGGAGAACCATCTGGAATTCAGGTGTGTGTCAGGATTTGGCTATGAGTTTCTGTAGAAAGGGACTCAGGAGGAATGATGTAACACAGGGAGGAGTAATTGAATGTTAAAAGGCTGAGTATCGAAAAAAAAATCTATTTGATGACCGCAGTAAGATATATAGCCCCAGCTAGGTGCTACTTTAGGATGCCTAAAGTTAGACTTGTGTTCATGGAAATGTATATATCAGCTGTGTTTGCTATGAAAATATTTAGATTTAAGATCTTTAGTAATTCAATAAAATGTGGGGGGAAAACAGTATAGAAAGTAAACCTAGATACCAGAGACAGTGTGAGAAGAGACTGGGAGATGGCAGAGGGTAAGAAATAGGGAATCAATGATGGTGGGAGGGGGAGCAAAACATACAGGAAACAAGAAATGGAAAGTTATTTGTTGATAATAACATGTTTGTTGATGTGCTTGATTGAGACAATACACAGTGTACCCTGGATGAGAAACCTCATTTTTTATGCTGTAATGATGTACAGTGAATGAATGTAAATAAATAAATTTAAATTAAAAAAGGAAAAAAAAAGAAGGCTGAGTACCCACATGGGGTTACACAAAGGGCCTTACCTAAGCTAGAAGGAAGGATGAGTAGGATCTGAGACTCCTACATAAAGGCAAGACTTTCCCAAAAGGCCACACTGCAGTAAAAGGATAAATTAGGAAAAAGAAATCCATGGTACAGAGTGGAAAGAAGGAAACCTGACTATCATAGGTGGAAAAATTTCCTAAGAATTTTTAATGACAAGCTTGTGGTTCATGTCAACTTGGGGTTTGAATTTATACTATCTGCTAAGAAATTAACATAAGAATTTGTTCTGAGTCAGTAATATCCTGGCAATAGGATGTGGAAAAGGACTCTAGAGAGGAAAACCCTTAGTGTAGTTTACACAGAATTCCCATAGATAAGGCCCTACTGAAGATGAACTCACAACCGAA